CTAATACAAAAAAATATATCACATTTTTAAATGATAAAAATAAATAATACCGAAGCAAATTATTTTCGCTTTTTTGGCAATATGGGCTATTAAAAATTTTGGTGAATATATTAGCTATGTATTCCCATTATCTCAAGTAATATAATTATTAGAGCTAAAAAAAATAGTATATACAAATATTTATCGAAATTGAAAGGGGTGGTCAAAGGTGTTTAATTTAATATGGAAACCCAATAATTGCCAAATCACACAATAAAGAAAATCAACGTTATTGTGGAGCTATTACAAAATATAAAAGTGAAAATTTGTTTAAAATTACTTTTCATCAAAAACTCCATTTGGAAATTTTTACGCTATGTTAATACTAGGTTAAATGAAACCTTGCCAAGTATTACTTTTGACCATTCCAACTAGAAGTGGGCGCGGACCTAGTTTTTTATTCACGGTCCGCTCGCTCACGGTGGCAATAAAAAATATTCACCCACGCCTACCACTGAAAAATTTTTGACCAGACCCGTCAGCTCACGAAAGGCAATATTTTACGTCATACGTCATGATAAGCGCAATTGCCCTTTATCGCTATATGAAACAGCTGAGCTACGCTTGGACTATCTCGTCCCATCTAATTGGGTTAAGAAATTTGGGGGCAACCTATGAGATGAGCCCATCCACAATTTTTGGGCAGGCCGCAGTTACCTGTGCTCGCAAGAGGCGAAACCACTTGCTTAAACGCCTTCGGGAGATAAGAAGAGAGAGAAAAGCCCGTACCCGATTAAGTAAGATGTATATTATAGGGAGGGGTATTGGTAAATTTTAAGTTTATGGTCTATATTGAATTTGTTTACCAACTCAACTTTGCTTTTTGTAAATCCATGTGAAGGAATCTACTATCAATATTGAGATATAATGTTCATAGAATCTGTAAATAAATATGGTTAAAATATAATTTTATCACTTGAAATTTTTCTACCGGATCAAAGGCAATATTTTGATTCACTCCCGAAAATTCACGGTGTTTTTTTAATGTTTTCAAAACTTTAAATGCTATAATTTTTTTACACTTTCGTGATTTTGAATTTATTCTATTTATATTTCTTTAATTTTCCATAATCCATAATAACAAAAAAAATAAATAACATATTTATAAATCCAAATTTTTACTTGGCAAAAGAAGAATGTCTATTATATTTTTATTTCGATTGTGTACGCCTTTCCCCTAATAGGCGATTGGCTACAGAAAATAACCTTTCACTAGAAGCCGAATTTGCCAGGGCTGACAAAATTTTACTCCCTAATTATCTTCAAAAAAAGGAAAATAAATTTTTCTGCTTTCTAAAACTTCAAAATTATTGCCATTGTTGTTTTGTTTTTATGGGATGAATCTTATTGATTCACACAGCTTGGGTCGGTAGATATTGATGCTTCATCAGAATCATCTAAAAATATGTTTCATTTTAGAATAATGTAGGATGAATTAGGAAAGTGATAAATGACAGTTGGCATTGACTTATGCCTATCATCTAATTTTATATCATTTCTTTTTAAGATTGTTTTGTAAATATCTTTTCCTTTTCTTCGTCTATTAAAAACTTAAGGCTTTTGAAATTAGGATCTAGAATTAAGCTTACCTTAAGTGCTTGAGAATAAATTTTAAAGAAAAGAAAATAGAACAAGGAGCGCGCACCAGATGTTTTTTTACAAAATGCCTGAATTTTTTTTTTTTGTTTTCGAAAATTTTTCTTTTTTAAAAAAGAAACTAAAATTAAATTAGAAAAATATGTATTATAAATTTTAAAATTGCAAATTTATATTTATATAAAAAAAAAATTAAAATTTCCGTGATTCGCAGGGAAATTCATGTTCACGCCCGGGAAAAATTTTGGGAAGGCCCATCACCCCCAGAAATATTATTCACGGGTGCGGTCATTTCCGGTGAAACGCTTTTGGAAGACCCTGAAACACGACAAAAAGAGTTATTTATTATATAATTATATGTAACTCCTAGAGATACCTTCTATATTAATCACATTCGATTTTGTTCGTAGTGTTTGCTCAGTATTTCCAACCGACAAATTTACTTATTTAACATTATATATAGTAGTAATTTTTAACATTAAATAATTGACACCTTCCCTTGCCTTACAAAGTAAATATATATATACAATTTATGAGTGGACCGTATTCTTTGCCCAACCTCCTTTCAATCAGCCCCATAGATGTTTAAGCAATAGTCCTAGAAATATTAAGCGTATAAGTATCTGCTGCGGCTTACACAGAAACGCGTGAAGGACTCGTCGTTTTTTCCCCTATATTGAGTTTGATGGATCTGAGGATAACTTAGCGAGCTCTGTTGTTAGAAACTAGATGGCTTATCTCTGAAATAAAGTATTTCTTTTTTTGGAGTAATTTTAATGATATATCTCCCTTTTCCTATTGGAGGATTTTTTTAAAAAAATCTTATTATCTTTAATTTTCCCCTTTTCCTTTAATTTAATATTTTCAAACTTTTAAAGAATATTTTATTTGTTTTTTAATACCTTTTCGCCAAAATATTATAGCTTTCAAGTTCGCATTTAAATGACTTTATTTTTTTTATTAGCTTATAACTCTTATATATTGTGGTTTTAATACATGAGGCTAGCGATATATATAAATATGTGTTTTATAATAAAATTTAATTGTACGATATACCTGAAAGCTTATAAAAAATACATCTTTATATACTAATATATTCACAATTAATATATCATTTTGAAATAATAATAAAATGCAAATGATTCCGAACCAATAAAAATATAATAATACCTAGACTGACATCAATGAAAAACAGCTGGTGACGCCATTTTGATTATCCCGATTTATTATTAAAAATTTTAAAAGAAAAAGGCCAATTTATTCCTCTTCCCAACTCAAACTTTATCAAAGAATTGCCTGATTATCGAGAAAATGAGGGAAGCAAGTTACCAAAATGGCGGATCCAGCTGATTCGCATTCAACGACGCTTTCAGGTGCATTATTAAGAGCGTGTAATTGATCCGGACATATATACATCATATTTAAATATTTATTTTGCCCGTTTGTTTATTTTATTTATATTTTTTAATGCCTTTTAAAAAAAAAAATTTTTTGATTTTTCTCCATTTTGTTTTTTTTTTTTAATTTTGCATAAATTTCATATTATAATTTTTTTTTTGGTTAATATTTTATTGAACCACTCAATTTTCCCTCAGGTTCAAAAAAATATATATTTCTTGCTAATTAATAGGTGTTCGAGGTCCATAATGATTCCTTAAGAGTTTATTGCTCATCCTTAAGGAAGCTTTCAACCAAGGCAGCCCCCGGCTTTTTTTCCCTAGTGGAACATATACCATTTTGTCGTTCTCCAAATTTATGTGTGAAGGGGGGGGGGGGAAGGGGATTTGCACCAATACCCTTTATTTAGACCTGGCAAAATAAATGCTTATAGATTTATTAATATCAATGACATATAGTAATACCTAGACTGACGATGCATTTGAAAACGTCGTTAAATGCAAATCAGCTCGACCGGCCATTTTGGTAAACCATATTGTAATTATTCTCATGTTAAAAACTACTAATAAATTGATAACTTGCTTCCTCATTATCTCGATGATCAGGCAATTCTTTAATAAAGTCTGCGTCAGACTTAAGAATAAATTGGCCTCTCGTTTAAAAAATTTTATATAATGATCATGGGTAATCAAAATGGCGTCCCCAGCTGTTTTCGTTACACTTTTAACGAATTCATCGTCAGTCTGGATATCCGGTGTAGTTTAATAAACCGGGGGTCGGTCCGAATATTTAAAACCGCCATTATTAACTAAAAAAATTAAAAATGTAATATATTTTTAAAATAAATCCGGGGGCCGGAAAATATAAAACCTGGACCGGGCCGAATTTTTTTCAAATAAAGCCGGGCCGGTTTCTTCAAGATACCTCTACAGGTCTTTGTATAATTTGGTCCAAAACAATCATACTTGTTTAGAATATGCTACAAGTAAATATTCAGAAACCGACTAAAATAAAATATAAAAATCGACTATCGGTTCAACTTACACGCGCGTGTCGCATGAAATCCGCTAAGCAATGAGCCGCGAATTAATTTATTTACGCTTTCTTCGAAGAAGTTGAGTTATATTTTTAAGAAAAAAAATCTAAACTCACGGCTAAGAAAGAAAGAAAGGAAGGAATGAAAGAAAGAACATATAATATCTATAAAATTATAATCTAAATGTTGAATTACGCTAAAAAGTGTGGAACGTTAAAAAAATGCAAAGATGAGATATGAAAGAATGCTAATAACTTTTCCATAATCATTATATATAATCAGTTATTTTAGTCATCCTAATCCTAACCCTTAACCAACCCTATAACCTTATACTAGGATTATTATTTCTTGACAAATATTTTTTAAACCTATGTCATACTTGCACTTGGAATTAAGGTGTATTACTTATCCCATTGTTTGTTTATACTTCTTATAAAATAGACATGAATGCACATAGCAATTGTATATTTAAACAACATAAATTAATGTTGCCGCAAATCCATCTAGGAATCAGTGTTTTAATGAAAATATCAGCCGATAATATATTTTAAGAGAAATGCCATTGAGCTCGATCCAATGTCCTAGCTATAATGTCGTCATGTTGTCAATTCTAAAATAAATTCGGTGATGTAGACCCTATCATTCTAAAATATAAACATAACCTTATCAACATGTCCGTGTTTATGTGGGAGGGGGGGGGGGATCATGCAGGTCAGGTGTCAAATTTTTCGTGCTGAATTTGATTCGATATTAGATGCGAAGTATCTCTTCGGTGAAATGAGCTGAGCTGAGAACTTAGGAATCAAATTTGTTCCAGAAAAAAAAACTAAATTCTTGTAAAACATTATTTCAATATGTATTATTATATATATAACGACTAATTTTTCTCTACAACCATCATTTAAAATTTGTAGCTTATTCATTCAAAAGGTTAAAAATGACAAATATTTTTTTTCTCCGCGAGGATTGATATAAAAAACAATATATATATAATTTTTTTAAATATTATTTAGATGCTCTATCTCCAATGCTTTGAGTTTGAGTATAGGTGTCAGCCATCCCAACGCTTTGTCTAAGTAATCGTAGGCTATATGACATTGTTCCTTCAATACGTTTTCTATCACGTCAGATATCTCCTTATTGTCAGGCACGCGTTGCTCCTTTATGTCAATCATAATTTTCGTATTATAATCCAGTAGAAATTCTTTAAACGTGGCCACAATTCTGCAAATATATTTAAATATTTATTTAGCTTTTATATATAATATATTTCTTTCTCATCTATTGGCTCTAATATTTGTTATGACTATGACAAATATAATAATATTAACTTTTGCAGCGATCTAGCTTTTCCCAACATGACATCTCCCTTCGTGCACCTATCGACCGGAAGCAACAACAAAATTTGCCCGCCCTTATGCAAGTATTCGAATTGAACGACCATCAATTTCGACATCGACGATAAGAGGGGAATATAAATATCCATTTTGTAGAACAAGGAAAGTCCTTGGTGCGTTGGTAGGATAGAGTCGTAGGATGCCTTGTTTTCGATTAGACACTTGGATAGGTGTTTAAGGGTCAGGTCTACTTGAACGCTGGCCTTTTTAGTACGAATAAAACAAATCAAATGCCTTTATTATCTTGATACAAATCAATAATAACATAAATCTAAACTTTTGTTTTTAGTGTAAACGATTTTAGGGGAATCAAGATATAATACATATGTTTTAAATAAATAGGGATATAAATTTGTGGGTATATTATAAGCTAGGGAAATAAGGAGAAAATTTAAATTTCAAAAAAAAAATATATGCAACGCAAGCAAAAATGATTATTTTTTTCTCTCTTAGACTATCAGCCTATAAGATGTGCTTATTAAACGGCTCTCCAAAGAGACCTGCAGGTCCGGCCCTAAGCCCGGCCAGGGTCGGGCCGGTCCGTATTTTAGTTTTTTTAAATATACCCAGGTCGAGCAGGGTAACTACTAACACCCAATACTAGCAAAAATTCTTGATATTTTTCTTATCATCTTTGTAGATAGAAAATATATTTTTTTTACGAGTTAAATATTTTTAAATCGTGAAAATACTAGACACAGTATATATTTATAACTCCACAAAATAAATAAATAAATGAAAGAAAGAAAGAAAGACGGGAAAAAAAAGGAAAATAAATAAATGAATGAAAGAAAGATTGGAAAAAGGTAAATAAATGAATGAAAGAAAGAAAAACGGGGGAAAATGAAATAAAAAGAGATCCGAAAAGAATTGTGATAAAAATTAATTGAATTTCGTTTTACCGCTAACAGTTTATTGAAAACGTTAACGACGCTTTTAGACATGCTGTCAATGGTGTCAATCGGGAACAAACTAGAATTCAATTCGGTCAATCTTTCGATAAATTCTTCAAATTTTTTAAGATCTTGGGGTGGGATCGTTGCTTCTTCGTTCCTCGGGGACAATATTTCGTCAAATTCATCTTCGATGAAGGGACCTTATATGTTTGCATAAATTTAAAAAAATCGAATCATTTGATATCGGTATATGCCTTTATATAGAAGTTTACATAAAGAAAGATTTTCTTTCTTGCTAATGCCAAGGGTCATGAATAAATTATTCACTCTTCATTATAAAAAATTCGTATTTTAGGAAGGAATATCTAATATTATTACAGTTAAATATATATGTATAGTGTTTTGATTAGTGTTGTTAAACGGCTCATTTTGAGCCGATTTCTAAAAACGGCTAACTCGATACTTCATCCAGAAAAATATCACCTAAGCCTGAAGATTTAGCTCATAGAAGGAACAAAGGTCTAGACATATATTATCGAAATTTTGATGCTTGAGTTAGCCGTTTTTTAAATTCGTCTCACAAAGAGGCGTTTAACAACACTAGTTTTGAATATCGAGAAACTAGACTAGATTAATAATATCACACGGTACACTGATATGTTATAAGATTCATGGAACAAAAAAAAAGGCCTTTAAATGAAGAAAATCTCTTCTGTAAATATACGAGAATAATATGAAAACGATTTTACTGTTGTTGGTAGCTAATTTGCTGTATTTCTGGAGAGATTGCTTGGACAGCATCTCCAAGGCCTGAAATTGAACGAAGTCTGTAAGTGATATAAGAGTTTTTAGTTAATAGAATTTAGAAATAAATGGATTTTTTTGTCAATTATTATCGATATTCACAAAACCGGTCCGGTTTTAAAACTATACCAGTTAGGTCAGGAGAGAAAAAGGAAAAATCCCCATTCCCACCATCGATATTTTTTTTTTATTTCACAATTTAAAACAAAGTCGAGATTCAATGCCGAGTAGTTGGAAGTTAGACTAAAAAAAAGGATTCCATTTCCGGTTTCGAATATTCTTCTATTATGTTCACTGTTTTCTTAAAATGTTCTTAGTGTGGGTTTTTTGGTTAATTCAACCCATTTCTGTAACTCTGTTCCCGACCATTCCATAAACAAAAATCTTAGTAAAGTTACAATACATACAATCAATCAAATCATGATTTATTCATAAGATAATCTACGATTTCCCCATCCGCGGGTCGAGTCTAGCGAACCGCTACCTTCGTCCGTGCTCCTCGAAAAAAATCCGATAACTTTCGTCTCCGGAAAGATTTCGGGTATTTCAAAAACCGGTACCGAGTCGGTTTTTTAAATATCTGCCCGATCGTTTTGTAACTTTTTTTCATGGTCGGGTTTGACGCCATGAATAAGTTTACCCCATTTTTTTCTATATAAACCTCAACGCATGTTTGTGCCGATCCACGATATTTATTGAATATACAAAAAAAATTTTTATAGAATTGGCGCTAAAAAAAATTGTATCACCTGGACTACTCTCCATCAATTCGATCAAAGTTGGACTATGGAAATAGGAGCTCAGGTCAGGATGTCCATTGGAATTCTATATAATATTAATAAGTTATTTGAATTATATATCATTATTATAATATTATTTCTTTCCTTTCTTTCTTTTTTTCTTTCTTTCTTTCGTTCTTTCGTTCGTTCTTTCTTTCAATTATATAAATAAACTTTGGCATTATTTGACGGGCCATTCGATACCGAAACCTCTTTGAGCATTTGGGAGAGCGTTTGATTCCCGAAATAATCTCTCTCGAACAATTTGATCTTTTCGTTAAAATTTGACGATGACGACGTCGTTTGAGGCGATTCGGTGTTGTCCAGGGCTTCCAGAGTTTTCTTTCCGAGCATTTCTAAGGCATCTATCCCATGCGAAAATACTCTTTTACCCTGTATATGAAGGAGAATTGTTTAGATACAATTACACAATTAATTTATTAGTATAAGCCGGGGATGTAGCTTATGGTAGAACATTGCGGATAAATGAACCGCCTTGGGTTATTGGTGAACATTTTCCGACATTCCCAAAAGCGTGAATTAAAACGTAACGCGTTTTCGGAATCGCGATAATAGCGAAACAGCTGACGCGGGAGGATGGATCCGCTTCAGTTTTACCTAACCCCCCCCCCCAGATTTTTAAAGATTGGGAGATAAAATGTGTGTGTACACAAGGATGCCCAATAAAACCCCCCCCCTTTTAATGTGTAAGTTAGTTAATTTATATTCACCATTATCTTGTATCAAGTCGAGTATCAATTTATTTATTAAAAACATAGGCGGATACCGGATAAAATATTGGGTCCGATCCGATATTAAATTGGGGGCCAACTTGGGATGAGTGAGGTGATAACTCGATTTACCACACGCATAATTCTCACGTGACGGATCTAACATCATTAATTGACAGTTGAAAAATGCTCAGAATATTGTGCGGAAGCTTGTTTTTTTCCCCATTATTTATTCGCGGTTTTTTATGCCTAAAAAATATTTTCTTTTCTTTCGTTTTATTCATTTAAAGATGGATTACCATTTTCCGGCGCGGATTCTTTTTTTCAAAAATATTCTTCGGTCCGACCCGGGTTTTATATTTTCCGGCCCGGATTCTTTTTTTCAAAAAGATTCTTCGGTCCGACCCGGGTTTTATATTTTCCGGCCCGGATTCTTTTTTTCAAAAATATTCTTCGGTCCGACCCGGGTTTTATATTTTCCGGCCCGGATTCTTTTTTTCAAAAAGATTCTTCGGTCCGACCCGGGTTTTATATTTTCCGGCCCGGATTCTTTTTTTCAAAAATATTCTTCGGTCCGACCCGGGTTTTATATTTTCCGGCCCGGATTCTTTTTTTCAAAAATATTCTTCGGTCCGACCCGGGTTTTATATTTTCCGGCCCGGATTCTTTTTTTCAAAAAGATTCTTCGGTCCGACCCGGGTTTTATATTTTCCGGCCCGGATTCTTTTTTTCAAAAATATTCTTCGGTCCGACCCGGGTTTTATATTTTCCGGCCCGGATTCTTTTTTTCAAAAATATTCTTCGGTCCGACCCGGGTTATATATTTTCCGGCCCGGATTTTTTTTCAAAAATATTCTTCGGTCCGACCCGGGTTTTATATTTTCCGGGCCGGATTCTATTTTTCAAAAATATTCTTCGGTCCGACCCGGGTTTTATATTTTCCGGCCCGGATTCTTTTTTTCAAAAATATTCTTCGGTCCGACCCGGGTTTTATATTTTCCGGCCCGGATTCTTTTTTTCAAAAATATATTATATTTATTTTTTGATTTTTATAGAGAATATTGGCGATTTCAAATATTGGGTTATAAAATATAAGGCCGGGCCCGGATGTTTGTTTTAAAAAAAATTTTAGGCCCGGGTATATTTTAAAAAAAATTTGTTTCGAATAATTTTAAAAAAAAAAAATTTTCGGTTAAATAACTATAAAAATTTACATTACTTCATTTTTTTTTAAAGTGAATTTTTTTTAAAAAAATTCCGATACATTTTTCTTGGGGAGTTACAATTGGCATGCATTTAAAATTTGGTAAATATTAATCAGGAGTAGATTAGTATTTTTTTTTATTTTATATTTTCTTTACTGATCGCTCCACTAGGAGAACTAGTAAAATTTATATGTTTATTAGTATAAACAACAAAGTAAATTATTTTGGTCTGTAAATAGAACATATTTTTCTTTAATTAAAAACGATAAATAAATCTGTAATAAAAATGCTAATATATCGAATATATTTAATCGTGATTGAATTTTTTCATCTTACCATGTTTGATATGAAGCTGGGCGTATAAGTTGCTTCTTTCTTGGTCTGCACTTGTGCTGGTTTATCTTGAAGCGAGTAAGTTGCTTCTTTCTTGGTCTGCGCTTGCGCTAGTTTATCTTGAAGCGAGTAAGTTGCTTCTTTCTTGGTTTGCGCTTGCGCTGGTTTATCTTGAAGAATAATGATAAAAATAAAAATATTATATTTACATTTCGATAGGATAGGGGGAAAACGTCATGTAAGAAATTTAAAAAAAAAAAATTAGGTAAGTATAAATAATATAATAAATGGCTATACTTTTTGCTAAAAAAAAATTATGATATTTAAAAAGTAACGAAATAATGTAACGCTTTAATTATTTTGTTTACTCTTTAACTTATATTTTTATTATTATCTTAGATATTTTTTTTAATCAAATTTCCTGTTTTCGAGTTATTCGCTGATTGGTGGAACTAGGAACTGTTGGTAAAATGTCAGTTCCCTTGATGGGCAAAGCCCACTTAACCATTTTGGGATCGAAATCTGAGATTGTTTATTGTGGAAAAAGTTACTGCTTCCCAACAAATTTAGCATATCATCAAATATGCCGCCCTTTACTGCCTAAATTTTATGATATCGATCAAAATACTTTGATCCTATGACCGTCTCGTAAAAATGTCTAATTCTTGAATATATCACGTGATTAGTTAAACTCGCCACCAGTAAGATGCGCCCATTTAATATTGGGGATCTAATAAATACGCGGCATTGTGATCATACCTTAAAAATTTTTTTTAGAGTATTTGACAGTAATCTAATTGGTCAATTGACCAAGTCGCTGCCAACCCTAGAACCGACAAACATAAAACATATGTTCAGAGATGTACTACTGAAATATCACATCAGATTTTTTTTTAAACAAGGCTAGTCATTATATAAATTATTAGAAAAAAAAGTTAGTAAATTAGAGATGAAAATTTTATTTTTATAAAAATCCAATAGAGCCAAAGGCCTAAAAATATGTGGGACCTAAAGATCTCCAATAGAATTTATGAGGAAGACCTCATCTAATAATCCACCACCCGCTTTAACAAAATCCCTGATACACCTACCATTATTTATACTATGTTTATTTTTTATAATTTATTATGTTCTCCAAACCCTAAACACTTCTCTTTTTTTGACAAAGGGTTCACACCCCTGGTTTTTAGTTAGTTAGATATATCATACAATTGTAATTTAAATACATACTGAAATAGAGAATTTTTATATATAAATAATTTTGTTTTATTAACAAATAAAATTTGAGTCGAGACTTACAATAACTATAATTTAAAAATTTTTACAACAAAGATCATTTTTTTAAAAAAAATTTCATCTTGAGAATGCTGTAGCTTTTAGTCAAATTTTGCCTAGAATTCCTTCAATTTTTGGATTTTCAAAGATTTTACAAAAAAAATCTTGATATTATTTTCTCAAACTTTGTGCAAAAGTAACATTTTTGCAGAGAAATACAAAATATAATGACGTTACTAATGAAGATCTCTAGATATGTGCCATAATTTATTATATAAAATAGGAATGAACATATTAAGAGTATATATATATATAACTATTTAAAAATTTATTTATGTACCAATATTGGGTAAATTTTTTGAATCTTGGGCTAGAAGTTCTGGTGAAGGAATAGACATAGTCTTCTCCACAGATTCTAATATTGTATTAATATTTTTGGATAGATGATTAGTCAGATTTGAAATCTCTGAGAACATACTGAAAAATGAATCTCCTCCAGATGAGAGGTTTTGATTGGTTTCTATTAAATTTTTCTTCTCTTGAGATTTGCATGTTTCAGTGCCAAATGTATTCGAAAGGCTATCATTTATCCCTTTGTCTGTGGGTACATCTTTTTCTTCATCTTTTAAAATGCATTGATTATCTTCGGGAACTGTAGAATTTATATGATCAGTTTTGTTTTGAGTAATAGTTACCTTTTCATATTTGGCTTTCATATTTATACCTTCATTCAAGGCTTTTTCATTTTTATTAATTTCTTCTCCTTTGGTAAAATCTAATTTTTTGACATTTTCATTACTACTGGAATCTATATTATTATCATTTTTAGATACTTGATTTGATGAAATATCAATTATATCAGCTGTATCATTGTTATTGCTTTTGTTAAATTTTTTATTCTTTAAATGTCTTTTATTTGAAGTGTTTTTATTTTCAATTCCTCCTTCATCCAATTTAGCTGCTTTTTTCTTGCTTTTATCTAAATTTCCTGATAAATTACAAGGTATATTAGAACTATTCTTTTCATTCATTTTCTTTTCAATGTTACTTGGTGTAAAATGTGTCTTTTCATTGATTTCCTTTTCTTTATCATCTGTTAAATTTTCCTTTTCATCGGCACTCATAAATTCATCAGTATCAGTACCCGACATTATATTTTAGGAATCTCTGTTTCTCCTCTCAATCACACGTTCAAAAATATTAAGTAAACATATGTTTAAATGAATGGTGACTTACATTTATTTTTTTAACGTTGACGACGACATATTTTTCTTAAGTGCGTACGGTGTAACGTGATATTTTAACTTAAATTTAAATTAACTCCCTTTAGTAATACTGACATTTATGATTGACGTTTGACTGACATGTAATGTTAAAAGTTTCTAATATTTAATAATATTGACATTTATGACTGACATGTAATGTTAAAAGTTTCTATTATTTAGTAATACTGACATTTATGACTGACATGTAATGTTAACATTTTCTATTATTTAGTAATATTGACATTAATAACTGACATGTAATGTTAAAAAGTTTCTATTATTTAGTAATACTGACATTTAAGACTTACGTGCAATGTTAAAAGTTTATATATTGCAATATTAACACTTATGACTGACAGGTGATGCTTAAAGTTTATATGTTTAGCATATAGACTCTTATGAGTGATAAATAATTAAAATTTTCTAATATTGAAATTTATGAGATAGATAATATTTTAATTTCTGATATTTAGTTATATTAATATCTAAGTTATACCTATAAATAATTTAACGTCGAAAACGTCAGAGCTTAATTTTAAAAAAGTTTGATTGAAATCTATATACACATGGTAGGTTATATTTATTCATATTTAAATATAAATTACATATCATTCATCAAATGATTCAATATCGTACTTTTTATAAAAATATCTATTAATAAAAAATATAAAAAGCTATATAATATAAATTAGCAATAGAATAGGACTTAACTCATCAAAAAGATGGCTAACTATTGTTGTTTTTTTTATAAAAATAACTATTAATAAAAAATATAAAATGCAATAAATATATTGTATAAATTCGCAATTGAATAACATTTAAGAAAAAGATGAAGTATTAAAAAAAATATAAAATGCAATAAATATAATTTAAATTTGCAATTGAATAGAATTCAACTTATAAAAAGGATGTCAAACTATTGTACTTTTTATAAAAATAACTATTAATAAAAATATAGAGAATAAATATAATGGAATAAAAATATTAAAATAGATAATCACATTGATATAATTCTAACAAAATGATTGTTATTTACATTGCATAAATAAATATTTTCTTTAAATATTTTAATATTAATAAAAAATTTCATGGGCGAATAATAAGCCCACTTATATTGGGTATAGATTAATATATTTGTCTATAACAATGTGGCCATAGATAATATTTCTACCTCTGTTGCCCAGACACCGTTTCCATAACATTTCTGTAGGTATTCCTCTACAGGATATCCTATAAATTTTCCCATTTTCAATTTGAAATCTTCGCTCCTCATAAAAAGAACGCATTCCTCCTAAGGTAATTATAATTTTCCTGGCTATTTGATATCTCTTGACTTATACACCTATAAACATGGTAAATATTTAAATATTATATATAGATACTAACCTAAAAAAACAGTTCCCATCACCCACAATATGATCTGTTGTGAAAATCTCTTTTAATATACCACATTTTATCTTGGGATAACCTCCAATTACTTTGATTGAACCGTTTAGAGATATACATTCCAGTTCCTTGTTGTTGGCAGAAAAAGTTCACCAATTTTCTTTTGGTATTATTGCTTCCACAATAATTTGGTCATCTAAATTTGATAATTAAATAATAACATTTATTTATAAATATTACTACCCTGATCTTGTACACCTATATATCCTTCCTCTCTCACTATACTTTTAATAGCTATTATTGGATCTTCACCAAAAGTATCTGTATCCAAAAAAATATATTAAATAATTTTATATATTATACCCTTTCTCTTGACACTTTTTATTTTAGTATCCTCCTTTCTAAATTCCAACCCTAGAATTTTAGATTTATCAAAAATAAAAATTTTTCAATTTTTAAAAAATAAAACTTTCTCCTGAAACTTTTATTCCACAGGACATTTCTTTAAATAGTGCTTCTTCTAATGAAAATATAATAATTAAAAATATATTTTCCTTTTTCCCAAATGCATTTGTTTACCTTCTCCTTCTCCACCTATAGTTTTAAGAAGCCTCCAAACTTAATTATTTGTTCAATATTATTTTATGAATAAACTGATATTACCTTGATCTTGAACACCCTCTATAGTTTCACAATGTGCAATTTTTTTGACTGTATCTTTACCATTAAAAAAAGTTATATTCATATATTTAAATAATACCTTTGTTCCCCTCTATATAGTGCTTTAAATTACTTATATTAGCCTAATTTTTCCTGTTGAAGAGGATAATTCTACATTGCCTAAATATGTATAAATATTTTGTTAAAAAATAATAAATTTACTATTAACAATTTTAACAATTGTATAAGGGCCTACCCAAGGCTGCAACATTTTCCCTCCTTTCCTGTCAGCCCGACCCTTATTCCACACAAGCACTTTATCATTTATGTGATAAAGTGCACTCTTAGCAGCATTACGAGTTTTATAATCTCGTTGCTGCTTAATTCAGCTTTCCCTATCAATTGAAAGAGCTGAGTATATTGGTACTGCTTGATGTATAAATTTTTAAAGTTATAAATTCTTTCTAAAAGTGGTGCAAGCTTTTTGGGTCATATCAGGTTAAAACTGAGCAATATTAACTACCTGATTATGTTAAAGTACATTTTAGAAGTGTTGCAAGCTTTTTGGGTGATATCAGGCTAAATTTATTCTATATTTTAAAACAATATTCTATTAATTGAAAGAGAATTTTATATTGAGTACTGTATTCTAGCTTATAAATTGTGGAATTTATCAGTAATATTCATAAAAATTTAGAAACAATACTTAAACCAGTTTATATAATTATGTTATAAATAGTGTAAATATACCTTTCAACTAGTTTATCATGTCTTGTTGATTCCAAAGTGACCTGATAATGTCATTTCTGTGAGATTTGTCTCACATACTCCATGGAATGAGACTAAAAGTTTTTGTTGTTGGCTAAAGAGCGAGATAACTTCAGCATGATGTAGACGATGGTATAATTTGTCATTCTCTAAGAAAAACTTGGCATATGACTCTAAGGTTTCTTTTTAAGCCATGATCGCCGACATAGGAGTTTGGGTAGGTTTTGCATTTAACTTAATTATAAATATCATTGATAACATCGAGATTCACTATTTAATATTTTTATATTAAAATAATAAAATATTTTACTTTTTACGTGAACAAGTTACTTTTTGAATAGGATGTCTAATTTCACAAATTAGATAAATAAAATTAAAATTCGATTCAAAATTTAAATTCAAAAATCAAATTTAATATATCAAAAATTAAATTTACAAGAATTTCAGTAATATTAAAAAAAAACTGCATGATCATATAACTCTCCCTATCAATTTACATTGTAATTAATATCTTTGTTACTAATCAACTCCCTCCTTAACACTATTTATCAAAGGGGGAGTTAATCTATCATAGTTATTACTTAACTCAGAGGTATGTGTTATGTTCTACCCCCCCCCCCTTATTTCTTTTATTTTTGTTTCTCCTTGTTTCTTTTGAACGATTACTGAATATGCGGAAGCTTTGATAGCTTTGGCCTCACAATGCGATCTAGGCCCCAGCTGGGACCTTTTCCTGTCCTCCCAATTCGGAGCGGGGATACAATCCTCCGGAATAAGAGGTCACGTAATAACGTCCGATAGTATGACGTTTAAAGGAAAGTTAAAAATTGCGCAAACCTGGGAAATGGCCGAAGCGCTTAACCAAAATAATGCGACGAACCACGCCTACAGCAACCAAATAAACATACCCACAAAGTATACGCATGTACAAAACACCCCGCAAACATTGGAGAATTATCATCAACCCCCACATTGAAATTTCCCACGGAATGAAAACCCAACCTGTTACAATTGCGGAAACGTGGGGCATTATAGATACAATTGCCCAATAAAACAAACTTTCAACAATTATTACTCCTCTCAGTATACTCCTCGAAATATACCTACGACTCAACCCAATTTCCCGGCAATCGCCTACCCAGCGACTAACAGAGTACTACTCGAGACTAAAAAGATTGAAAACAAGGAGTACAAACACATAAACATGATGACAAATGAAGCGGATATCGACAAAAACTATTCATTCCGGGTAACGGTAAAAATAAATGGTATACCATTAGAAATGGTTATAGATACAGGCTCAGATGTAACAATCATTAATAATCAAACGTATAATGTACTTTTCAACCGTATCCCAATGGACGACACCAAGGTAGTTCTAAAATCATTTTCAGGACATGACATTCAACCCATAGGGCACTTCCCGGCAATAATAAGCTCCAAGACAGCACACATTCAACAAATATCCTAGTAACTAATAACTCCCCCACCTCCATAGTGGGTAGAGATGTTCTAAACAAGATACCCGAGATCCTACAAGACATCACCTACAAGGATCAAGAAATTAAACAGCTTAAAAAAAATTTCCCACTTTCGGATACCTTAGGAAGTTTCCCAAGCAAAATAGACCTTAATCTCCTTCCCAACGCACAACCCCAGTTCGTTAAACCCCGTTCGGTACCCTATGCACTAAAGTCACAAATTGAACAAATACTTAAGGACTGGGAAAACCAAGCGATTATTAGTAAATGCCGATACAGTAAATGGGGATCTCCAGTTGTGCCCATTCAAAAGTCGGACAATTCCATACGCCTTTGCATTGATTACAAAGTTACTCTGAACCCATGGATCAGGCCCGAATGTTATCCTATCCCCCGAATCGAAGATATTTTTGGAACACTACAAGAAGGTACTATTTTTTCGGTCATAGATCTAAAAGAAGCATACACCCAAATACCAGTCACAAAAACTACAAGCGAACTGTTAACAATTAGCACCCATCTAGGCCTATTCAATTTTAATAGACTTCCTTTTGGTATTTCCTCCGCCCCAATGATTTTTCAAGGAACGATGGACATTGTAACAGCCGGTCTAAAAAAGACCGTCACTTATTTAGACGATATTCTAGTATCAGGGAAAACTCCGGCGGAACACTGGTTC